TTTTTGAATAAATTGTTTAAAATAACACTTAGTTTGGAATAAGTATAATGTAATTTATTATCAGTTACATGCACCGTACGAGTTGTGTACTAATTTTAAGTAGATATGTTTTAAGTAATTTTGCACACTTTAAATTCATTGACATTTCCAATAAATTAATATTAGTAAATTGTATTGCATATTAATTTCATATTTTTAATGTATATATATTATTTAAAAAATATTTTTAATTTAAAAAATATTAATTAATATATGTTACCCGTGCATCGCACGGGATTCGTACTAGTTAAGAAAAAAATAAACAATATATATACATATATATGTTTACGGTCTCAAATTAGCTTTAGAGAATGATAAACAACAATTAAGAAAAAAAATAAACAATATATATAAATATATATATATGTTTATAGTCTTAACAATATTCGTAGAACAATAACTAGACTATAATAAATAAAAATAAACCAAATATATACGTACAAAGATATAAAAATACCATAAAACAATAATGAAATAAAAAAATAAATTAAAATTATATGAATGTACATAGGCTCAATAATTTCTTATAAAATTATATAAATAAAAAATACATAAAAATTATGTGTATGAACTTGAAAATTTCCCAAGTAACATATCGTAATTTTATAATTCTCTTTTGTTTAATATAAAAGAAAAAAAAAATCTATATTTTTGAATAGCATATAATATAGTTTATTTATTTATTCCCATAGAATATTACTTGAATGGATTTTATCTAGTTGCCTTATGGTTTCAGTTTTTACTTTTTAAAAAAAAAAAAATAGGAAACAAAAATACCTTAATTAATACGAGTAATTTGCACAATGTATGAAATTATGAAAGAGAAAAGGTATTGCTTTTATTTTATTTCTCTCTCCATACAACTTGTAGTTTATTAATTAGGTTCTGAAGTATGATTTCACGTAAAGTTATAATTAAGTAAAAATTTACGTGACATAAGTGCAATAAGTTTGAAAGCTCGTTATAATGGAAAACGAAGTCAATGAGGCCGGCTATGTGTACTTACGCCTTTAGTCCAAACCATAATCAAATCAGACCTAACGATTAATTTTTTTCTTGTCCATAACCGGACCGATTTTATTTTTTAACCGGCCACAATCCGAACCGCATTGGACGGTCCGATTTGACGGTTAACCAGTTAAATCTAAAATCCTTGTTTTTGGGCTTTCAATTCATCCAATAAGTATAAAAATATACATTTCGTCCCGTAAACATAAAAATATAAAAATGATGAAGATTAAATTAGCAAAAAGACCAAAAAGTGATAGTGAATATATTGTATTTGTCGACTATAGTGAATGACTGAATGTGTATATATATTTCTTATAGTTTTTTAACATTTACCGGTCCGGTCCGGTTAAACCGAAAGTTTGCCGCATGTAAACCGTTAACCGGACTGGTTATTCCAGATTCTTAAAAAAATTAACCACCGAATTTTTTAAGGTTTTTTTAACCGACCATTTAACCGATCCGTGGTCCGGATTGACGGTTTTTTCGGTTAAAACCGAACCGTGAACACCCCTAGTCATATGACTATCAAAACCACGATTATTCAAATTGACCCACAAAAAATCATACTATCATATAAATCCAAATTATGCGGTCAACCTTCATGTTATCTATATCTATATATCTATCGATAGTCTATAGTAATATAAAGAAGTTGTTAGAAAAACATAAAATTAGTATGTTTGACTTAAAAAATAATGGTTTGAGTTACTATTTAAGGTAACCATAATTTATCCGTCAGATTAATATTAAGAACAATTTATTAATATTATTATGCTCAAATTTGGTTTGGATTTTCTTAACCAATTCAGATTCTGTGCAAAATAAACTTGGATTTTCTATCCCAATAAAACCGGAATTTGTACACCGTCAACGTGTGTTCACAATCAATTATCTTATAAGTATTTTGTTTGCTTTATCAAGATTTTTTTTTTTTTTTGGTACAAGAAGAGAGGCCGAAGCCTAGGAAATCCTAATTCGAGATACGGCGAGGATAAGCGACGCCAACAACATCATGGCGTAACCAATGACCAATTTCCCACGGAGGATCCCAAAGTCGGTGATAGCCCACTGGAACCGTAGCCGCTAAAGAGGCGAGCTGATCAGCTACACAGTTGCCTTCCCGATAAATGTGTGATAACCGAACATTCCAATCCCGACGAAGCAGCTCACGTATGGCTTGAATAATGTTTTCATGTAATCCCAATTGATCCCCAGTTCCCGAAACCATAGCAACCACACTGCTATTATCAACCTCCACAAGTACGTTCCGTTCCCCTAACTCCCACGCTAGGAGAAGCCCGTGATAAAGTCCCCATAATTCATCCCCTGTAATAGTGCATAGACCCACATTCAGAAGGAACCCCCCGAGCCAGCGTCCATTATGGTCCCGTGCAATCCCTCCGGCACTACCTCGACCCGAGATATTACATAAAGCACCATCCGAATTGATTTTAATCCACGCCTCCGGTGGGGGCGACCAGCATATCATAATTTCCTCATACCTGCGGTTCGACATGCCCACAGATTTCTCCCACGACGTGCAGGCCAAATAACTTTCCACCCTTCTTCGAATATCCAGAACTTGGTCGTCAAGGGAGACCACTTTATTTGCAAAGATGGCTTCGTTCCTCCAGCGCCAGAGTCTCCAACATGTCACAGCAAATATTGTCGCCCAATGCTGTAACTCCCTCGTACCCTCCGGCTTCAAGTTATCCTCGAACCAGGCCGTCAACTCTTTACCGAAAAAGTCCCGTGGATCCTTAAGGGCTGACCCCGGAAGTACAGCAACCCACACCCGGCGAGCCTGAGTACAGTCGCGCAATACATAAGTTGAAGATTCCGGCTGCCCACAGTGATAACAGTCCGCAACAGTTGCCACATGACGCCTCATGCGCTCCATATTCGTGAACAGACGGTCCCGCCCAGCTAACCACAAGAAGTGACGTATTCTCTGTGCAACCGGCGCACTCCAGATGGCGCGCCACAACGGACGGGCTGACACCGGGTTCGGGCCTGATAGAGATTCGTAAGCCGATTTGGTAGTGAAAGAGCCGTTAGGTGTGAAACCCCAAATCAAACGATCAGTTCGCGCTTCAGGTCTTGGAGCGAGCACCGCCGCAATTAGAAGGAGTGTCGTCGACGGTAAAAGCTGCTCGAATCTCTCCCACCACCATCCGCCGTCCGCCTTGACAAACGCCGCCACTGGTTCCTCCAGCTGCTCCATCGGAATGTGGCCGGTCGCCAAATGAGATAGAGGTACTGTTATAGGCAGCCAAATATCCTTCCAAAATCGCGCGATCCATCCATTACCCAACGCCCACCGAACCCCGCGACGAATCTGCGGCCACATCTTGGCAATAGCTTTCAAGCAAATCGACCCTTTCGGGAATTTAAAATCAGCTGCCATCTCCACCGGATTCAAGCGATATTTCGCGCAAAGTACACGAACCCACAACTTCTCAGGCCTCGTAAGTAGCGTCCAACCTAACTTCATTAAGAGAGCTTCATTCATGAGTCTCGATTGTTTCAGGCCAAGCCCGCCATAATCCCGTGACTGGCAGATGTCCGTCCAAGGCACCAAATGCGGTTTACGGTGCTCCGAAGATCTGCCCCATATAAAGGAACGACAACACTCTGGTCGAGGCGATCACACACTGCATACGGGAGAGCTACAGTCTGCATGGCATAGTATGGGAGCGAACCAAGAACAGATTGCGTCAACGTCAGTCGCCCCGCCGCTGAAAGGGAGGCGGCCTTCCATCCCGCGAGGCGTTTTTCGGCCTTTTCCAAAATTCCCGAGTACGTAGCCGTTTTCACCCGGCCATGAATGAGCGGCATACCTAGGTACTTACCCAAGTCCTCGACCCTCGAGTATCCGAGACTCGCTGAAATTTCCCGTCGATGCTCCTCACTCACAGAAGTAGAGAAAAAATTTGAGTTTTCGAGGAACTGACCTTTAAGCCCGAAGCCATACAAAAGCCCTCTAAAATCCTTGAAAGGATGTCGGCCTGTACAGATGTCGCCTCAAGGAACAGCAGTAGGTCGTCGGCAAACATGAGGAAAGGTACGTGAACAGCCCCACGCCCCAGTGAAATCGGCTTCCACTCACCGCTCGAGACTGAGACGCCAATCTGTTGGGCTAACCGCTCCATGCACAAGACAAATAGATAAGGAGATATCGGATCACCTTGCCGTACTCCTCGGGTCGGGGAGAATCCCTCACACACTTCGCCATTCCAAATCAACTCCATCGAGCTGGTAGTCACACAGGACATGATGGCCCGCACCAGAGAGTCCGGAAATCCAGCTAAAAGGAGTGTCTCTAGAATAAAATCCCATCTCAAGAAATCATATGCCTTTTCCAGGTCCACCTTGATGACCATATGCCCTCGGCCCGACCGCCGTATCCTCATCGAGTGGACTAATTCTTGGGCCACAATTATGTTATCCGTGATGTGGCGTCCAGGGTTGAAGAGATTTGCCTGGAATCCTTTAATCCAGAGCGAGGATACTGGTCCTTGTTACTGACTTCTTCCTTCATGAGACAGGATTTAATTCATTGAACAAAACAATTCTTCTGGTTGCTCTAGTGCTCTCTTTTAGTTGAGAAGGGATAAGTATTTATAGCTTCAGATTGTATTCGACCACTGAACCCATTTTGCTTTTAGTGGTTGAATCATCTAATGATAAAATATTGAAATTTGATATCTAAGTTAGGTATTTGACTTGGTTGTACTTTTATTACAGCTTTACTTGATGACTCGGTTGGGCTGACACTCCTGTCTCCTCTTTCTTTTGTTGTGGGATTTTTTTTTTTTCCTTTATGAAATCTTTTCCATTCTTCTGTAGGACAACTACCTTGAAGAAGCAATGAAAATGAGAAATCTCCTTGAGGAGTTTAGGGCGAATCATGGTCTTCGCCCTCCTACAATTCTTGGTGTAAGAGAACATGTATTCACGGGAAGGTAAGGAGTCCTGCCTCCTCTCCTCTCTCTCTCTCTCTCTCTATATATATATATATATATATTTTCACATTGTGTTTACGCACGGAGTTATTGGTCAGCTAACATTTATTTCTATTTCAGTGTGTCCTCATTGGCGTGGTTCATGTCCAACCAGGAGACTAGTTTTGTGACCTTGGGTCAACGTGTATTGGCAAAACCTCTAAAGTAAGTATCATTAGATTTTTGTTAAATTATGTCCTCATGCAACACTTGTTTCTTATGTTTAATGTGTGTTTGTAGATGATTGTGATCACATAGTTGAGACTGCATTTTATTTTTTTTTTCCATAATATTCTCGTTTGCTGCATATATTCCTATTATCATGAAAGTACTTTTTTTTTTTTTTTAATTCTTCCAATTTTCAGTATATCAATGTACCTGGCTTGAAATACTAATATAAATATGTACTGTACTACTAATAAATATATATGAAATTTTGCAGAGTCCGTATGCACTATGGGCATCCAGATGTCTTTGATCGGATATTTCATGTTACTCGAGGTGGCATTAGCAAAGCGTCACGCGTTATTAATATCAGTGAGGATATTTATGCTGGTAAGTTTAAGAAAGTTTATTTCTTGTTGCGAAGTTAAATTTTGTTGTTACATTATATACAAATGTTTATGTATGTTTTTTTAAAATGGCCCCCTGCTAATTTTGTGAGATAATTGTTGTCACGTTTCAAAAAGATTATAAGTTTATCACATTAAGACCTGGGCTTTTTCACCCTCTATTTTCTGTTTATAACTTTTTGTTCTCTCTCTCTCTCTCTCTCTCTCTCTCTCTCTCTCTCTCTCTCTCTCTCTCTCTTTCTCTCTCTCTCTTTATTCCCTTTGAACATTATTAAACATGATGTCTCAAAAATTCTCCCGTCCTGAAAAATATTATCAGGCCATAACATTAAGAATTTGGCTCTAAGCTCGATACTCGGGCTTTTGCACCCTCTAATTTTCTGTTTTTAACTTTCTGTTTTTTTCTCTCTCTTCTTTTTCCCTTTGAACATTATGAGAGCTTTCACTTTCTCCTGGTAAAGTAAACATGATATCTCAGAAATTCTCCCCTGACTTGACAAATGTCGATGCTTTCTGGTATATTTACTCCACTAATATTTCCTGTTTTCCAGTCATTAGTAGCGTTTCTGTTTTCAATTTAATCTTTGGATAATGATAGGTAGGAAGGTATAACTGTATGTGGTAGGAGTACAAAAAGTACTTTGATATTCTGGTATAGCATGTGGTTAATGTTTTCTCATGTTTGCACATCTACTCCCTTTGGTACTCTTATTGATAGGGTTCTTCTACACCTCTCTTCTACACATCTGTTAAATGTTTGTCTAACTTGGGGGAATCACATGCGACTTGCGCTCTTTTGGGACTCTTGGTGACATTGTTCATTTATACAGCCACTATAAGTTTTCTAGTTTTGGGGTATGGCATGAGATCAACGTATATGATTCTCACACCTACCGAAAATATTAGTTTTGGATACTTTGAATACCAGAAATCCTGTTGTGTGATGTGGCATTGCTTAAACTTAACACTCTAAACGTGCAGGGTTCAATTCCACACTGAGGCAGGGGAACATCACTCACCATGAGTATATTCAGGTCTGTCAGATTACATGTGCATCAAATTAACTTGTGTAACTTCTTATTCTCATGTCGGTTTCTTACTTAATTAGGTTGGGAAGGGAAGAGATGTTGGTTTGAACCAAATTGCTTTGTTCGAAGGAAAAGTTGCTGGAGGGAATGGAGAGCAAGTATTGAGCCGGGATGTATACAGGATTGGGCAACTTTTTGACTTCTTCAGAATGTTATCCTTCTTTTTCACAACCGTTGGTTACTACGTTTGCACAATGGTAACATTGTTGATGCGATCTTATATGTAAGGAATAGAACCAGCGGTGCTGGAATTTTCTATTAACGCTGTGTATAATTTTTTTGTTCAATGCAGATGACTGTTCTTACTGTATATGTTTTCCTGTATGGAAGAGCATATCTGGTAACTTCACCTACTCATAAATTTCTTCTAGTTTCATTTTGTTGGTTATTGTTATATTTGTATATGCCTTTCTAATATTTGGCTCTTACAGTTGGCAATGCAAATTAGCTATTGAAGTCATAAGTGTATCTGTCTCTTAAATTGGGATACCTGGTTCATTGAGATCAAGCATGTTTTCAACGCCAAAAAGTGTGTAGGATTTAAATTGGGAGTATAATATACAATAGACACAAGAAAGAATGGCTTGGCCGGTTTGGCTCAAAAAGCTTTGGTTGAATGCGTTTTGATTCCATATTGTAGCAAACTTAAAAAATCATCTACCTTTTGAAGAGTTACTCATGCCTAATGTTGTAAACTAATAATTATATGGTTGTGTAAAGTATTAGCTACCGGGGCTTGAGTTGTACACAATTTGATTATAAGCAGTGGGAGATTGAATTTTATTTTAGTTGTATATAGTTCTGCTATAGTTCTCAGTGCCTTCTGTCTCTGCGACATTACAAGCCTTTGATAGAGGAAGAAATGCAGCTTCATTGATAAGGAAAGACATAAACTTCTGGAGGAACTTAAATTAGTGTACTATTATGTAACAGACTTTGCTCCTACAAAATTGCCATTGCCTATATATACATTATCAGAAGAATAACAAAGGAAAAGCCTGAGAAACAGACCGAGCACAACAGTAAATGCCATTTAATGCTTTCTATGTGAAGTTTCTGTCACTGAACTAATTTGTTGCGGAGTAATCGACTTCCCTATATTCTTTGTTCATTGGAAAAATTAGTCTACACTCTATAGATCTTTCTGATCTGTTTAACATAAAGTTTTACATGGTAGGATCAGATGGGTGGCCAATTTAGTCTTCTGTAACCAAAATCAACATTTTTATAACCATTGTGATCATTTTACATACTAATTTTTCGGTCATCAATTTTATTTTCCAGGCATTCTCTGGACTTGATCAAGGAATATCTAGGGAAGCCAGATTTTTGGGGAATACTGCATTAGATGCTGTTCTGAATGCTCAGTTCCTAGTCCAGATTGGTATCTTCACTGCAGTGCCCATGATCATGGGTTTTATACTTGAACTGGGCTTATTGCAGGTAGATTCCTTTTTTTTTAGAATATTTTTATGTTCAATTTTGACGATATGGTGTTGTGAGCAGCTTCATTTGCATGTAATCTTTTACTGTGTATTTGATAATGCTATATGATAATATCTAAACAAGTTCTCCATTTTATTCGTTGAAAATATGTGCTAGGCCCCGCGCCCCAGTACATGATAGTAAATTTGAGGTACATTTATTATAAAACTCAACTCAACCTTTTGTACTTGCAGGCTGTTTTCAGTTTTATCACAATGCAGCTTCAGCTTTGTTCTGTCTTCTTCACATTTTCGTTAGGGACAAGAACTCACTATTTTGGGCGTACTATTCTCCATGGAGGTGCTAAGGTACCAAGATTTCTTGCTCTTGCATTCAATAGGCTCTTTATCTGTGTAGGTTGATATCGTTATCTCGTGTGTACAATGCTTTGGCAGTATCGAGCAACTGGAAGAGGATTTGTTGTTCGTCACATCAAGTTTGCAGAAAATTACCGTCTTTATTCCCGGAGTCATTTTGTGAAGGCGTAAGTATCCCATTGAACAAAAAATATCTGCTTTTTTATGTGCCTGCATGGTTCTGTGCTGACTTTATACTCACAGGTAATGAATGTTTTTTCAGGCTGGAAGTAGCATTGCTTCTTATTGTTTACATGGCATATGGTTACTCAGAGGGGGGTGCCGTTTCATTTGTTCTGTTAACTCTAAGCAGTTGGTTTCTTGTTATCTCATGGCTTTTTGCTCCGTATATATTCAATCCATCTGGATTTGAATGGCAGAAGTAAGTTGTTTCAACCCGTAATTTTTAGTTAGTTTGTTCATTTGTTTCTTTTTCTTTACTTTTAGTTTGTTAATATGCTGCAATGTGCAATCTTAGTTTCAATGCACAAGCAATTTGGCTAATGAAGCCTCAAATATAAGAAGTTATTCCATTTTTGGCGCCTATCTTTTTCATGCTAGTGTTGAAACACTTAGGGGGGTGTATTCAATTGGGATTTTAAGTGACATTTTAAGATTTTTTAATATTTGAGACTAGGATTTTCAGATTTTAGAAGAATTCTATGAAATCGTAAGTTCGGAGGTAGGATTTGAAGTGGGATTTCGTATAAGGTTTTTTGTTTAAAAATCCCACCAAATCTTAAAAAGTCTTGATAAATCCTAATGCCAAATAAATTAAATACCTCAGGATTTTGTAAGACTTTTTAAAATCTCAATTGAATACCCCAGGATTTTTAAAAGTCTTAACAAATCTAAATTGAATACACCAAGATTTCTAAAGTCTTAAAAAGTCCTTAGAAATCCTCAAATATAAAAAGTTATTGCATTTCTGGTGCCTATCTTTTTCATGCTACTGTTGTAACACTTAACCTTATTATGCAGAACTGTAGAGGATTTTGATGATTGGACCAATTGGCTTATGTATAAAGGTGGAGTTGGTATCAAAGGAGATAACAGTTGGGAGTCATGGTGGGATGAAGAACAGGTTTGTCTTCTGAATGGTTTTTACTGAATACCACTATATGTTTCTGAGGACATAAATATTCACACCGAATACCACTGTGTTTCATGTTGAGCTATGAAGTGTCATATCCTCTGACATTAACTCACGAGTCTTAATCAAGAATAATGGACTCGGACTATGTGGTTGGTACATCTTAAATACTACCTATTATCATAAAAAAATAAAATATGCATCCTACTAGTGCAATACATGAGGCTGAGGGTAGTTTTCTTTAACCTGTCCTTTTTGGTAGCTTGTTCTGGTAGTTTAATTCACCCTTGTTCTTATTAGAAGCTTATTTTTGGATGCAGATGCATATTCAGACACTGAGAGGACGTATACTCGAAACAATTTTGAGCTTGAGATTCATAATGTTTCAGTATGGCATTGTCTACAAACTCCATCTTACTGGGGATGATACATCAATTGCGGTATGCTCTTGGTTTGCTTTTTTGTTTTGGTCTCTCAAGAATGTATAACTTCTCTTGTAGTAACGAACCCCTCCTTTGCTGATTCTTAACTTTAAACACTATCATTCATTAGAAAGTAATAGTTTTACTTCTCAGTTCAAATTTTTATTTTATCCGCTTAGAAACTCTGTGGGAGGTTCATCAGACCCCCAATGTGGTGTCGGATGGAAAGATGGTGTATAAGAATAAAATATCTCAGCAAAAGAATTGAAACAGAGAACATAGAGGTGGTTAGGCAGTAACAAAAGAAGGAATGAGCAAGGAAGCCTGTATCAAAAGAGGTCTTCTGCTCTTTCATTGTAACCCCATCTTTGATTTTATTCTTTGCAGGCTGGTTTTTTTTTAATTTTATTTTATTTTCAATGACTATTTTAGCACATATTAGGTTCTTAACTGCAGGACATTTATTATTTAGTTCAGTGTTGATCCTGTATTATATCTTGCCTTCGAGAGACAATTCTTATTTTTTTGGCATGTATGATGAGTTGTCCTTATCAGTGAGGGGTGTTATCTAGTCCTTGGCCCAAACCCATCTCCCTTTAATATTAAGACAGAAAACCATAAAAGAAGATAAGACTTGGAGTTTCAAGAAAATCTTTTTAAAGGATATTAAGTTCTTCTTTATGATTATTAGAGAAATCTGTGGATAGCTGTTTTTCCATTATATATATA